ACTGCCAACAAATCCTGGCCTTTTATGCTAGAGTCCCAACATCAATTGCAAATTCGTAAGTCACATAATGCAAGTTGTGTCATTTGTCTCTCTGATAATGCACAGTTTGACAGACTCAGGGTTTTTCCCGCCATTGCATTGAAGACCCCTCTTGCCCATTGCTGAGTTGGCAACAAATTTCAATTTCTTTTGCCACTGCTGCCTCCTGACTTCCCCCAAAGTTTATGGTGATATATTTTATATAAATTAAAGCTATCTTTAGATGGTGTTGAATTTAATACTGGTACAGTGAAGGATGAATTAATGCTGTTTCACTCATGGGCTGGGGATGAAACGAAGACACAATCAGGCCTAAAAATATGACAAGACACGTTTAGGCTGTGGTTAGGTGTCAGTGGGGGAAAAGCCCCGAGAGGGACAAAGCAAAAAGCAAATGAAAGATGTCTCATTTTTGTGTGGGTTTTGGCTGAAGCTCATAAAACGGTTATGATTTAGATGGATTCATTTCTAGTAGGATCATTTCATGCATTATACTTCCTACGCCTGCCTTTTACATTTTTAAAATCGTGAATAAGACACATAAGAGGATTGTGCGGTTGCATTTATTCAGGTTGATGCAGTATGCTGACTGCCAAGCATTGGGTTGTTGCAATGTATAATGTAGGATAACCTTAGAGCAGGGGTAGGCAACCTTGGCTCTTTTATGATCGTGGACTTCAACTTCCAGAATTCCTGGCTCAGGAATTCTGGGAGTTGAAGTCCATGAGTCTTAAAAGCCAAGGTTGCCTACCCCTGCCCTAGACTAGTATCAGGGAGGAAGTGACAGATTCTGTCAGCTTCTTAATTAAGGCCTTTGAAGATAGTTTTCTAAGATGATGAAGAAGGTCACTGTTTTTCAAGGAGTTAGTTTATTTTGAATGGAATCCCTCCCTCCCTCCCTCCCTCCCTCCCTCCTTCCCTCCCTCCTCAGAATTAAAACTTGACCTATCTCATCTAAAAAGTTTGCCCTTGTCCTGGAGTGCAAATCTGGTAGCACATTCACTTTAGTTACAAGGATGCCTTTTTTTGCACAACTTTGATTTTCAGGTCTTTCACTTGATTACTGTGATAAGTCTGCTCTCCTATCCTGCTGCTTTGGGGGTTCATCTAAATACCGTGAAGTATTAGAGCTTTTTCCAGTCTCCTTGGCTTTGGTACTGAGTTGAGGGGAATGTAGTGCAATACATCTGCAGTAGAGGGAAAAAAAGGTATGGCCTGGCATCAGCAGTAGGACATTATTCACAGGTAGGATGAAAACATGGCAGCCGTAGCAGTGAAAGTGAAGCCCTGTCCCTTTACCCGTGCATATCATGGTGACAATACAAGTACAAACGGGGTGGGTCTTTGTGCTGCCACCATCACCCATCTTGCTGTCTTCAGATTCTCCTGCAGACACCACTGCATGTTAACAGGGAAGAGCTACTCATTTTTGTACTCTCTTGTCCAGAACTTTCTGCAGACATGAGTGACTCGAATCCAATTGATTTAATCTGAGTTTTTCATAACATTTAGCAGCAATGTAGTGGTTTATCTTTTTATCTGATGGAAAGTGTGAAATTGCTTCATCTGCTGGCTTCTTTGTTTTCATTTGGCGTTGGTTGAATTCTTTGTTGTTTTGGGTAAGTTTTTTAAAGTGGTCCAGGAAGATTCTAAGCAAGATATATGTACTGATGTAATGACCTTCATGTAACGCCACATAAAGTAAATGAACATGCATTGTTTTGCCAGAAGCACCAAATATCACGTCTTCACATACAGTTCATGTTCAACTGAGCAAAACACTCATAACCAACTACTGACCAATACATAGATGTCAGTTGATAACTTTTCTTCCTTTTTAAATTATCTGGACATTTGTGAAACTCTATTGCATCTCTAATAATGCTAGAGAAATATCTGTTGTCACACCAAGGATGTAACAGATGCTCTGCAAAAGGGAATCAAAACATTGTTTACTAAAACATGATTGCTTCATCTGGAATTATCTGGAAGGCATGTCAACAATGAATTGTGGCTGCAGAATTCAAGGATATAAATCACGTCCCCTATATAGTGTTCTCCTGTATTTGTCTGTGATCCTTATTGTTATAGCAGTAATATTATAATCTCTGTGTTGATAATTAGCTGGCAAACTGCAGTGTGGTTTTGAATTCATCTTGGAGGAGGAAATTTCATTTTCATGTCAGCTGGAAAAGAAAGGGATGAGGTGAGGAATGGACTGAGAGAACTCCCTCTTGTGGAGGACCAGGCTGCTTCTTCTGGGAACATCTAAGACCCCAGTGATGGAGGCACTAGGTTCTACCAGCATTTTCACAAATATTTTATACTCTGTCGTTTCTGAATATATTCCATATTCAGTTAAGCTTTTAAATGTTAAATGTGCAGTGAAGATAGAATATTTCATGTCTGTCTCATGACTGCACATTGATATCTGTGAGACAAGAAAAGATCAACTTAGCAGGAATTTTTAACTTTCCCTTCTCCCTGTTTGGCTTCAGGCCCACCCATCTTTCCAACAAGTTTAAAAATAGCTTCTTGATCCATGAGGGAGGGCTGGGAATGAAATGACACAATAAGTTAATGAGCCTGCTAGTGACTTCAAGCCACTGACCTGTAGGGCAGGAACCGAGTAACTTTTTTCTTTTTTCTTTCCACTGCTAGTTGCCATTTCTCTCGTCAGTCTCTCTTCAATCTCTTCTGTGCTGTATTTCCAGCAAGGAGTTTCCCCGGTAGTTTATTTTCTGATAATAGTGACCATTCCCCCAGTCCCAGCAGATATGATCCTTCCTGATTGAAGATCTTACCTGATAGCTGGGTAGAGTTTCCTTTGACTGGTTAGTGCTGATAAACATCCAGAATGAGTATTTAACAGTCTCTAATTGTTCTGCTCTGTCCTTAGAATCATAGGAACACTTTATTACAGTAACTGACCCGCTCAGAAAACTAGAAAAACAAATTGTGACACAGCAAAAGGCAGTAATTATAAAATCTATGAGCTCCAATATGGTATATTTTACAAATAGTAAAACTTAGGTTAAGATAGTAACAAGAGGACTAGTAACAAGAGGACTAAAATTCATTGATTAGATAGTAACAAGAGAACTAAAATCCATTGGTCACATACTAAAAGTGTAATTCAAATGGATTCGTGTGGCATGGAAATTGGACTAGGTAGGGATTATTAGCTGTAGTTGAATATCTTTACAATAAGAGAAATACTATATAACAAAACATGAGTTACAGAATGAGAAATGGAAGTGCTATGGTCTCTCTCACTTTCTGCAATCCTGATGACGGGGTATGACCCCTTAACTAGCATAATATCATGCTAAGGAGAGAGAGAGAGGGAGGAAGAGGGAGAGAAAGAGATGGAGAACTTCTCAAGCAATGCCAGCACTTGAATCTGTTGGAATAGCTAGTCTCAACTGCCAGAATTAAAAAGATGGTTTGTTATAATTATGATAGACTGAGGACTCTATTTAAGAATGTAATGGTTGATAAAATGGCCAACCATTGTATTCTTCAGGATCAATTTATTCTCTTGAATGTGAGCCAGAATTTGAAGTGATTTTTGTTGTGAAGGCTGGCTTTTTACTTTTTGCCATATATACCTAGGAAATTTACATTCTGTTTTCCTTTTAGATTTTTACATACAATAAAGGGTGAGGCATCTTTTACTATAACTTAACATTCATTATGTTGTATTATTATGTAAATATGATTATGGAACCCCACCACATAATGTTTTTCTTGGGGGACTGCAGCCAAGAAGTTAAAAGACGCTCCTGGGGAGGAAAGCTATGGCAAATCTAGAAGCATACTAAAAAGCAGAGACATCACCCTGCCAACAAAAATCTGCATAATCAAGGCCATGGTTTTCCCAGGTGCAATGTATGGCTGTGAAAGTTGGACCATGAGAAAGGCTGAGCACCAAAGAATTGAGGCCTTTGAACTATGGTGCTGGAGAAGACTCCTGCGAGTCCCTTGGACTACAAGGCGATCAAACCAGTCAGTCCTAGAGGAGATCAACCCTGACTGCTCTTTAGAAGGCCAGATCCTGAAGTTGAAACTCAAGTACTTTGGCCACGTAATGAGAAGGAAGGACTCACTGGAGAAGGGCCTAATGCTGGGAAAGATGGAGGGCAAGAGAAGAAGGGGACGACAGAGAATGAGATGGCTGGAGGGAGTCACTGAAGCAGTAGGCGTGAGCTTACATGGACTCCAGAAGATGGTAGAGGACAGGAAGGCCTGGAGGAATGTTGTCCATGGGGTCGCGATGGGTCGGACATGACTTCGCAACTAACAACAACCACATAATGTCTTGATTTTTAAATCTCTAGGTGTCTCAGGCACTCCTTAGTTTTTAAATATGAAATAGTCCCTTCTGAAATATGAAAGGAGGCAGTGCATATATTGATAATGACCACTAATCTCAAGTGGGATCTGCAAATTGCAGGAATAAGTTTATGCTTACTAATCTCCTGCTCTCAATACTCAATGCTCCACTGAATTATATAGTACTTTTTGATGTGAGCAGAGTACAGTAGGGCAAAAATTTGCTCTCTGCTCAGAGTTTTTTTTTAAAAGTAAAATTCTTTAAAACAGCTAGATTCATAAGTGATCTCAGTAGGTTAATCAGGTAATGCAGATCTATTCCCTCTTTTAATGCTCCTTGCATTCTCATTCTTCTTGTTGATTCAGTTTTGTTTTTAATCTGCTTTTTCACTATGTGTAATGATTAAGTAGCTATGGTACTCCCTTCATTAGTTGCCTTGCAGCAGACCCAGGATATAAAATTTAAAGCTAATAAATGAAACAAATGAAAAATGGATCCAACTTGCTGTTTGAAACACAAGGATGAGTCCTAGCTCCAAGGAACTAGAAAGAGGGCATTGTGCAAAAAGCATTGCTCATTTTTGCCCGAGTCCCATTTCTCACTTGTGATCTTTGGTCTTTTTCAGATCCGCTGGCTCCCTCCCTCAGAGGCTACTTCTCAGGGCTGGAAGTCCCGTCAGTTCTGCTGAATCCTGTGTGAGTAGAGCACAAGCATCACTCGCCAGAGGCTCCAGCCGATCACCAGGGAAAGTGCAAGGGCTGTGGCTTCTGTTTTTTGTGGTGTGTGTAGAATGAATGTCTGAACCTGTGATTACTCTCCCCCGTGCAGCTGTTCCCTTCTCCCCTATTTCCATATATCTTCTCTCTGAAAAACTACCCTTTGACAAAGAAGGAGAACTCTCTTATGCAATTTGGAGGGGACAGATTTGTTGTTCTGTGGCATAATATTAGTAGCAGTAGTAACAGTACTACTAATATTAATATTCTGGAAGCTCAAATCAGCATACATCAGGAAACTGGGCTGGGACAGAATGTGGTTGAAAATCATGATGGTCAATTGGGGATTGGGCTCTGCATCTCTTCAGATCCAAGACCCAACACACACCTTAACAGTTGATTTAAATTAAATGAATTGGCTGAAATTAGAAATTGTAATGCCTTCGAAATGACATATGTAAGAAAAAGGCGTTTTTGTACATTCTTTCTCACGGTTAAAAAAAATATGGGGGGGGGACAGGACTAAACCTTATTTTAATATGATGTTATTAATCAGTTAAAAATGGATGTAGGAATGAGCTGAGCTTGCTAGCAGTAATAAACAAATATAAAAAATAAATTATGACATTATAAATTAAAGGCCCTAATCATGTAGGCTAGTGGGTATTTGGGGAATTTTTAAGGCCATTGCAATGAGTTAAATCTGATGTTCTTCAGATACCGCAACAAAAGACAAAGTCTGTTACTTTCTATAACTTCCCACCTTGCCTGCAGTGGGAGCTTTCCAAGCAAGGTCTTTTGTAAAGATTGCATTCCAACATGAAGACCTCATGATGTTTTCATATTGCCAGTGATTAGTTATCCCCCATTCTTTTAGGGATGTAAATAATCCCTTCCCTGTGTATATGAGACCCCTGTAATACCTGGGGTAGTGGCTCAGGAAGGAGGGAGTGCTATTTTGCCTGGTTCAGGACTGGTAGATGATCTGAAATAGCAATAGCATTTAGACTTATATACCGCTTCACAGTGCTTTATAGCCCTCGCTAAGCGGTTTACAGAGTCAGCCTATTGCCCCCAACAATCTGGGCCCTCATTTTACTGACCTTGGAAGGATGGAAGGCTGAATCAACCTTGAGTCAGTGAGAATCGAACTGCTAGCAGTAGGCAGAATTAGCCTGCAATACTGCATTCTAATCACTGCACCACCGTGGCTCTTAGGTGAATGTCAGAATAGACAAGTGATATAACTACAATGTTGAGGGTTCATGTCCAAACTACAGATTCCATCTCCCCTCTAGATAAAACGAACCCAAGCCAGCCTCTCTGACTTTTGCAGCTTTTTGTTTCTGAACCAAAGAGAATTGATTCACCAGTTACCTTTGTCTATTTTTAAATTATTTTTAGCCAAATAAAACAAATCTGTTTTTTTTTTAAAAACCACCAGCAACAAAAGCTAAACTTCACTGGCTGCACTTCAGGGTTGGAAAGCTGTAAATCAAGGGTACATACAAGGTTACGGAAGGACAGAAGCCACGGGGTGAAAAGAAAAAAGAAGAAGAAAAATGCAAGCTGAATTTAGTTCTGTAAACAAAATGGGACAACTTGAGAATGCAAAGCAGTGTGGCTGGCCCTGATGGGCCGAAAGGAGGAGGAAAATTTTCTCCTGAGGAACTGCTGGTCTGAGTCAGGCAGTGGTCAAAACTCAAAAGTCCCCCCCCCTCCTTTGGAGCTGTATTTTTCAGACTTCCTACATAGCATATATTTCTGTATACTATGTCTCCTTCTCACCCCTGAAGCCCTGTGGATTTGGGAACTTATGCGTATTCTCAATTTCAGCCTTGGGAGCTGTAACTATTAGGCTTCATTATCTCATGGTGTAGTTTGGCAGCACTCCAAAATGGATCTGTTGCTTTTCTTGCATCTTTTGGTGGCAGAAGACATGTGACCGAATACAAGCTCTTTGTTCAGGAAAAGGTGCCACGAGTGATGTCAGATACACAGTTGTGACAGTTGCAGAGAATGGTTTTGGACTTGAAAGAGGGAGGTGTCAGCATGCTCAGAGGAACACACCAGATTTACAGGGACGGCAACATAACTAGGTTGAAAGAAAAACCCTAATGAGCAAAACAGCTCTTAACATCATCAGTAAGATAGGATGCTGATCGTCTGCAGGAAAAACAGTCGTCTGCTGGGTGTGAGAATGTAATGCAGTGTATTGTGAAAAAAGTCTTGGCAGCTTGGTGGAACCTTAAAAGAAGAACAGTGTTGTGACGGAGATCACATGCTGTGCTGTCAAAATATGGTTGGTTGATTGTGGCTTAGTGTGTTATATAAATCCAGCTACTGTGGTTTATGACTTAATATACTTTTAAACCCTAATTACTGAGCCATGACTTAGCATGACATATCAACCCAGTCTTTGTTGCAGATCCCACTTAGTATTACCCATTAAGAACACTTTCAGATTCTATGGGACAATCTCAAAACCACAATATCAGAGCATTTCTGATGCAGTTTCTGCTTAGTCAGAAGCCAAAAAAAACAAAAAAACAAACCCTGGTTGAGCAAACTTCAGCAATGGTAATGGTTCAGTAGAGCCAACCAGGAAAAATATAGTAGTACAATGCTAAAAAAAAAATTTTGTTGCTGATGCAAAAGTGCGCTTTCATTTCCTGTTCCTTTACATCTAAGAATATGGCTGGTATCGGATTATGTGACAAAGTAACTGTGTGGCAGGGGATCTGGGAGTTGAAGGCCAACATACCTGATGGTCATGCAGTTGGAGATGTTTTGAAGAAGCTCTGATGTTCAGTGGCAGTCTGTTGAACATCATAGAGTACAGCTGAGTTCTGAGAGACTGTCTCTTCATGCTGTGCATATGAGCACGCAACAGGAGACCAGTCTTCATTGGAAATTCACTACTCAACCTTTTAGTTTGCCAAGGCTTTTTATTATTATTTTGGTCATGTATGAAATTGTTAAGCACCTCAGAACAAGTTGATCTTCATATGTCTAAATTTTAATCATGATTAGTCCAGTATTGTATTACATTGGGAGAAGAGATGCTATTGACCTATTTTTGTGCTTCATTTTAAATCCAGCAATTTCTATCCCAAAGTGAGTTTTGAAATTGCTAAGATTCGGAAGAGAGTAAATCAAAGTGAATACACAAAGGATTGATGAAGATAACTTTCTAATTCCAGTAAACTTTTCTCCCTCCACCAATCTATTCAGCTTAGTCTTGTCACATTTGAAAATCGCATCACAGCTTCATTAGACAGAATATAATGATTTACACTGGCGTTCTCTTTGCAAACTCAATGTATTTTTCCTAATATAGCAACTTTCTTTTCCCAAGCCTAAATAATTTAATCATCGGTGACTAAATGAGAATTGGCCGGTGTTTTTAAGCACAGATACAATGAGTGCAGCAGTAAGTTATTTTCATACTAGCATATTTGTGTATGAGAGAGAGAGATTTAAAAATAAGATTGGAGGACTTACAGATTTTTCTCTCCAAAACATTATGCAAGCATAACCATATTTGGGAACAATTCTCTAAGTTATTGCAACAGCAAAACCGCGAAACATCTGTATGTAAAGTTCATCTTCCATAACGCATATGAATCTTGAGGCATCAAAAAAGTAACTAGACTCTTTTTTTAAAAAATCAAGACCATAGAATGGTTATTTCATACACTAAAAACACACCTGCTGGCAAAGCAGCCTAGCAATTGGAAAATGGCTACATGGGTTGATCCTACTTCGGGCCAGTATTTTACAACAGCCTGTTCCTATTTGGACAATGAGCCAATACTTCCAAGTTCACCGTTCTTGCTGGCTTAGATCATTTTGAGGAAGAGATCCTTGGACTTCACCCATCCAACTTTTGCCAATAGGAAAGCTGCCTTTTACTGATTTCAGTGCCCATCTTTGGGCAAGTAATTATTCCTTATCCTAGCCTATCTCTCTAGGCTGGTTATGAGGATAACAGAGATTTCTTTTTTTTGATCCTATTCCACATTTGGACAAAAACATGGGCGGCTACATTGTTGACTAATCATTATAAAATCTAGCTAAATGTCAGCATTTCCATTGATTACAGTTTTCAATTTACAAATAGATATCATATAATTATAATTGCTTAGTAGATTCTCCAAATTGTTTCAATCATTGGAAATCACATCATCCATAAATAGGAATGAATTTTTTTAGATAAGTTAACTCACATTTTTGTGATTCAGTGTGATATTTAGCAAGTTATCATTTCCTAGTCTTGAGGGGGGAATAGATGTACTTATCCTCAAGATCTTCCTTTATTGCTCTAATAGCCAAGTAAAATGGCCTATCTCCTATGAGTTGAAGAGGTTTCTGCAGTTCAAATGTTGGGAAATAACAGGATTATAGCCTTCATGTCTTTGGAAAAGCAGTTAAGATGCTACTTGTCTGCAGAGCCTTCAGAGGTTAATGGTGGAGTATAAAAACTCTTTGGGAAACCATATGATAAAATACTGAGTTATGAATGCTCAGTTATTGGAGATGTATTGACGCATTTGCTGTTTATATTTTGCTATATTCATCTGGTACCATGTTGGATTCTATAAACTGCTTGGAAATACGTGATTGAAGCAGTATAGAAATCCTAGTAACAAGTAAAATATAAATAATATAAATAAACAAGCAAAAAAGTGACTGAAGTGTCTAATCATGAACTGTATCTGTGCCTTGGAATCAATGTTGACTTGGCAAGGTTTTTCAAAAGTGATTTGCCCTTGTCCATTTCCTAGGACTGAGAGAGAGGAACTGCCCCAGTTGACTTATGCCTAAGACACTAGAACTCAGGTCTCCCGGTTTCTAGCCTGATGCCTTAATCACTACAGTGAATTAAGGCATGTATTGGTAACACTAAAATAAAATATATAGTCAGGAAAAGAAAGCCAAAAATAGTATTTCTGCACATTAGATAAGAACATGAACCCAATATATAAAGTTTGATGAATAACTAAGTTCTATTATAGCTATTTGTGTCATAATTGTGTATTATATTTCAGTTGGCTACAGATTAATAAATAACATTGTGTGAGTTCATGGGTATATAAATCAGTCTACTTCTATTTTTATCTATTATCCAAACCCTGTATGTAAGCAGGGAAAATTGTTTTCACGATGCTATATAAAAGTTACAATGATCGGGCTCTTCCCTAAGCTGAAACGTATTTGACTTTTAAGAGATTGTGTAAGACAAGAGATTTTTATTAAGTGGCGTGAGGCAATTTGTTCTCGTTTGGCTTCCATTTTCAGAAATAAGATTGGGAGATAATCATTTAGGAGAGAGGAGAAATGTATTGCATATATTAATCAGTGATACTTTATAAATTCAGCATATAATAAATGGAGTTTCTGATGACACATTTATCTCTGCCTTAGGTATCAGGTGTGTGATGGCGGCTACACTCTGTCTTGTGGGTATTAATGCATTCTTCCAAAGTCGCTACTGGGGTCTTACCTTCATCTTCCAAATTGCAGTGTGGTCGGTAAGTCAACATCTACTGCAGTCATAAAAATACACTTTATTTTGAGTGAACCAAAAATCTTTTAATACCTCTTCAGCATTGGAAACAGAGACCAAGCTTCTACCATAAATACAGTATGTAGCTTTAGATCATTTTGTTTTCATAAATAAGTGGACAAGTATTTTTTACTCAATTGTTTAATTAGGTTCTCTTTATCTAGTTTTTGGGCTCGTGTTTTAGATGATATTTATGCAGAAATATTAAAAATTCAAAAGGGTTCACAAAACTTTCAAGCACCATTGTATTCTACCAGGAATAGTAAGGATCAATAAGGGTTTGGGGGTTTTTTTTGCTATTGTGCCTTACACGTTAAAGCTTTACATATTTTAGTCCTAGACTGTGACTTAATTTACTGCATTTTCACGGCAAGTACTCCAGCAGTTTAACATGGAAGTATAGACCACCTCCTTATCTCCATCCAATATTAGCCTTCATTATCTCTTTCCCATTTTAGCATCCACTATATTTTGTCATTCTCTGGATTTTCCACTAACAATGGCCTCCAGGTTTGGGAAGGCTGTTCTTGGCTTTCTGGCCATTTGGAACTTTTGATTGTATTGTTGTTTCCTCATAAGCATGTCTTTTCTTTTTACAGGCTTAAAAAAAAACAAAACCCTCACACGAGCGTGGATTCCTTCAAGACTTTGCCACAGCCTCTATCACACATCTTCTTAAAAATAAAATAGAAAGTATTGAATAATAATGGTAATGATAAAAACGCCAAATCCAGTCTAAAAACATCTGGTTGACTATGCGATGAACCATAATAATAATAATATGTTCTTCTACATTGTATAAAAGCTTAAGAGTTTCAATTCTATAAGCATGAATGAATTTCTGGTTTGAAAAAATTATTTTCAAGCAGAGCAGCAAATAAGTATTTTTTTATACCAAGCATTTTAAGTAAGAAGACTTTACTTTCGGCGGAAGAACTGATTACTGTATATGTTTGACTTTTAAATATGTGTAATCTCCTTTTCCTACCCTTTTAAGATGCATGTTCAAGGCATGTTTTTAAATCTGGTTCAGATTTTTTAAAAAGTGTATTGTTTGAAATGCACAGACATTTTGGTTATCAGGTTTTGGTGCCTGAGATGGTGTGTTTTAACTATATGAAGTGTATTCTTGTAGTACTTATTTTTATGTTTTGCCTAATTGTGCCAAATTATATTGAGCAAGACAATCAGCAATATAATAGCTTTTTCATGATTGTAACAGTTGGTGCGCTGTACATTAGCGGTGCCTGATCGCTAGTTCCTGCTGTATTTTTTCCCCCTCTATATTTGGATACGCAATTGCGTGGGAATAAGTAGTACACAGTAGAAAGTAGAAAGGATATTATGAATGAAAATGTGCAGTCATAATTATGAACATTTCTGCAACTGTGTCTATCATAGTATACCACTTCTCTTCAGATAAATATATCTCATGCAACTGTGTGTATTATTTGGAAAAAGGAAAAAAAAGCCTGGTATTTGTGAGAACCCATCCTGGATGGCAAAGCTGCCCAGGAAGTTATGTATTCTAAATCAAGTTTCTAACACATACCATCTACTTTTATAAGAACGTATACACCGTGTGTGTATGTATGTGTATCTTTGGAAGGTAGGTTAGTTTTGTGTTTTTTTGTTCTAGATGTAAAGCAAATTGTTGTTAAACATATTCTTGGGGAAGGTAAGAGGTGATTGGAGCACTGATCCAGAAAACTGAACTTCAGTTGTTGATCCCAGCACCTCATGCCTATAAAAAATGCCAAAGTTGTTTTTTTTTTCTGAATCTGGTTCTAATGAAATGGCCACCTTTGGGGCATTTGGCTTGCCAGCTATTCTTGTTTTTTCCCAGGTAATCTCAGTAGCTGGCATATGTAGTCAGCCCCAAATCTATGCACTGGTTCCAGATAGTGGTTTTTGAGGTGGCAGCAGTAGCAGCCCCAGGTAAAGAATTGCCTTCAGGGCCTGAACTTCCTGCTGCCCATTTTTAAATAACTTTTCAGCTTCACCTACTGTAAATCTGGGCTCTTGGGAAAAAAAGAGAAGAAAAGATAAAGCTGCCTCTCTAGGAACAAAGCAATACTGGGAATGGTTTCAGGCACAACCTGCCAAGGAAAAGCTGCTTCAAACTTTCCACTTTCTTGAAGTTTATCTTTAGGAGCCAGATAATGGCTATAGACATATGACATTACCCAGTCTGGTTGGACTTTAGTGCTGCAATGGGACTCTAGAACCGCTTTTTTTTTTTTTAAAGGTTGCTTTCTTTCTATTGAAGAGAAAAAAAAACTCTCCCATAGATCAGCTTTAGCTCAGGTGTGACTCACAAATTCAGCTGTAGCCAAAGGCTGCACCTCTTAGAAGCTAATGACCTGAATTATTAAAGTTTTTCTAATCTGCTTCCTGTTTCCACTTTACGTGGATATGTGGTCTGTTGAATTGAATAGGGCTTGCTTCTGGGTGCATAAGAGTGCACCCTGCAGTTCTTTGGGCAGCTAGGAATGCAGTTACCTAGGGCATAGTATAGCCCATAGTATAGCTCTGCTAGCCCAGAGATTTTACAATAGTGATTCTGCTGGCTTGCTCAGTAGAGAAGCCCATAGGGTTAAGTAGGATCAAATTTTCATGAAGCAGCCTCTCTGCCAGGATTATTATCGCTTATCCTGAAATAAGATAAATTATTTTGTAAGAAATATAAATTATACATCAAAAATGTAATTGCAAGGGGGTTGCTTGGCATGTCCTCCTCTCAATGTGATGCAGCTGCTACTCCTGAGAGTTGTACTCTGAACACATCAGAAGAGTCCCAGGTTGGAACTGAAAAATGCCCATTATTAAGCAAACAATATGGATAAATTGAACAAATTTAAAATGTAACTGTAGGTGGTTAAACAACCCTAAAAATATTTGTGCTGGATTGTTTCACAAAACATTTGACTTTTTCTCTACGGCCTTTTACTGGCAGTGACTGAATTATACAATGCTTCCAATTTGTCTGATTTTTTTAAAAGAAAAAAAATTGTTCAAAGATACTTTTCTATTATAATTTTCTAAAAATAAAAGTAATGAATAAAATAAAAACCATGTCTCTTTATTTACTTGTACCCATTTGAGGAAATTAGAATCGGTGACAATCAGTGTTAATACTTAGTTTTAATACTTCACCCCAACCCAGTTTTCATTTATACTTCCCTCTTCGATAGTAAATTGGAAAAATAGCAGCTACAAGTCAGTATTGGCTCAGGTACCTCCTAAAGATTACCACAGATTCTGAGACTCATTACGGGGTGTAGTCTGCACAAATTACACAGCTCAGCCTTTCAGAACCTGTCCTTAACCTTCTCCCAAATCCTGCAATTGACTCCTACAGAATAAAATCACAAGAAAACCATCAGGAAAAAGAAGAAAAAAACCCAACCATCTCTGTTAGGAGATTGAGAGAAGTTTAAATAGGAGAGGCTAAGAAGAACCACTCCAGAGTCTCAATTTCAGTGTAAAAGAGGCCTATACTAAATACCCCCATCCTATTAACCATGACAGAAAATATGGTAGAAGCCCTGCCCCAAATCAATTGGAGAGGATTTGAAGAAACTTCTTGAATGAGAAGCTAAATGTCTTCAAGGAAAAACAAAGTCCAGTTGCTTTTTGAAAAAACACCTTTGGGACAACCATGACTTGGATGACTGAGAATCTCCACAGACATACAAATAGAGAGAATCCAAATTATTAGTTCCCAAGCTAACCACTTATAATTAGTCACTGATCTCCTGCACTCAACAAGGTAAGAGCAAGAGTCACAAGCTTACGCAGATCTTATATAAAATGTTAAAGACAGCATGGGTATGCATATACACTAAAGAAGACCCACAATACAGAAATAATTGTTTTACAACTGATAATAAATGAGAATAACTACACATGAGTATCCTTCATGGATTGAAATCATTAACATTCTTAGAAAGAGCATCGTAGCTTTGATATTGAACAGAGCTAGACTCTGTTCTTCCAACAAACTGCATTTATTGTGGAAGAGGGAAGAGATGAGGCATGGCATAGATCCAGGACTATGACAATTTGCCACAGCCAGCTCATCATGGCCAACTAGCCACAGCCAACTTGCCAAGGTCAACTCACCATGGCCAAGTCGCTGCAGGACAACTTGCCACGGGACAAGAGTTACACTGATATCAAAGAAATGATGGAATAGAATCATTAAAGAAGGGATGCAAAAATGGACAAAATGACATGTGAATGACAAAATTTAAAATATTTATTTGAAATAGTTAAATTGATTTGTTAAATTGCCCCGTAGTAAGTTGTCCCACAGCAAGTTGGCCATGACAAATTGTCTTGCGATGAGTTGGCTGCAGCAAGTTGGCCACGGCGAGTTGGCTGCAGTGAGTTGGCCATGGTGAGTTGTCCCATTCCACGTGGATCCTCGAATCCTGCCTTTTAAGACAAGGACTCTATTATCAATTAATCACTACCAGGCACAGATTGGCACAGAAATGAAATCCCATGCTTAAGGATGCTACATGAAAGATAAAAAGGGCACCTACAGATAGAAAAACATGTACACAGGGAGCTCTCAACTGAACAATCTTTTGTTTAGTGACTGTTCAAAGTTACAATGGCACTGAAGAGTGATTTTTCAGTTTTTCACACATGCAGCACATTAGCAGCATTCCCATGGTCACATGATCAAAATTTTGATGATTGGCAACTGGTTCATATTTGACAGTTGCAGTGTTCTGGGATCATGTGGACACTTTCCCGACCTTCTGAGAAAAGAAATCAATAAGGAAACCAGTTTCACTTAACAAATACTTAACACCTGCCTGATTCACTTAACAACTTAACAACACTTAACTATGGCAAGAAAGGTCGTAACATGGGGCAAAACCACTTAACTGTCTCACTTAGCAACAGAAATTTTGAGTTCAGTTGTTATAAGTGGAGGATTATTTGTATATGTATAGTATATCAGTAAGCATAAATACAATGGATTCATCCTATTCAAATCTCCATGCAGATTATTTGCTTCTTTCTTGTTTGCAAACACTCGTGTAACATTTGGTAGCTTGTAAGGCTCACAGACCATTTTCACTTTGGTACACTTTATAGAAGTTTGGCTAGGTGAAGAAACTGAGATTCAATTGCTGGAATAACTCTTATTTATGTTCCCCATATTTAAAGGAAAATGATTGAAGTAGTAATAATTAACAAAAGGCGTTTTTGATTTCTGAATTCTGAAAACAAGATATAATCCTCTTCTACCTGGCTCTGTAATAGGAAAAGGAATTCTAAAGTACCTGATGGTGAAAATACATTTACTTTAACCAAGCATAGGATATGCCTCTGCTGTCTCTGAGCAGTAGGATAATAAAAGATTCATGCCAACACATTTGCAACTACCTGACTCAGTCTCAAGATAACAATGTCACCACTATGACTTTGTGATTATTGTTATCTTCAAATCTTTTTCCATCATCAGTTCTGAAAGCCTGGCACCCTCTCGTGTCCTACCACCGAGTTCCTTGTGCTACAGAAAGTGACAGGAAGAACCAAATGGACATTCTTTACCTATTTTCTCCAAATTCACTTACTTTTCTCTATTCTCTAGATCAGTGTTTCTCAACCTTGACAATTTTAAGGCATGTGGACTTCAACTCCCAGAATTCCACAGCCAGCAATGCTGGCTGTGGAATTCTGGGAGTTGAAGTTCACATGCCTTAAAATTGTCAAGGTTGAGAAACACTGCTCTAGATAGAAGCTTGGAAGGACTGTGATGAATTATATATCAAATGCATTACAAACAGCTTCATTATCAGTGCTCTCTAGCAAACATACAAAATCCTGCTACAGTAATTTTTCCTTTTCATGTCTTACTTCATAAAATTAAAAATATTAGCAGAAGAAATGAAATTACCCTTACTAATTTGCTCAGTAACATCCAACAGATCTATATTTTTATCACCAAATTAATCTAATTAAAAAATTATGCTCTCGGTTTTTAAAGCCAGGCTTTTCAGTGAGGCTGTCTATGCTCAAGCATCATTGTTTCCTTGCTTAGTTTCATCTTTAAAGCCAAAAGAAAATGCATAGTTGAGTGCATAAACATAAATTTCCTCTCCACAGTTGATAAGTTCATGGGTTTACTGCCTGATTAATAACATCATTATCAATTACTCAAACTATTTCTAGAGCAGCAATTTTTTGTTTCATTATCTTTCATTTCTCTAGAACAGGGTGTAAATACACAATTTATTCAGATTAAATCAATTACCCATATTAAATCAACTATACATTCCAATCTCTGGGAAAAATATACTCTTACCTTCGCTTCCCCCAACTCATGCCCTTTTCTTTCCTTCATCACAGCCAGCAGTTATATAATGGAAGGTCACACTATCACTATATATAAAGAAGCAGGCTTGTCTTATTTTTTTTTTAATTCTAAAGTAATTCAAAACAATGCAAATACACTTGTGTGCAAAATTTAGGCACCCTTGGTCAAATTGTACATTTCAATAAATCCTTAAGTGAATAGAAAATGGCAAAATTTCTACATGATACAAAACTACACGCAACAGTGTTCTACAAATTTCAATCCATACTTAACAATTTACGTGCAGTTATTTACAGATTCAAGGTAAGAAGATACATAGGGGCAGAGGTTTGGATACTCTTTCAGGCAGTATATTTTGTAATATCTCCTTTGGCAGACATTTTCGGTAGCCAGCTGAGTCGTTCTAGCTTTACTTTTAGGATTTATTCTCACTCTTCATTCTCACAGAGCTCTTCCAACTCAGAAATATTCTGAGACTTCTTGGCATGCATTGTACTTTGGGATCTCCTCACAGATCTTCAATAATATCTAGGACCTGGGAAGACCATTCCAAATCCTATGTTTTCTTGTAACAGTTTAATGATTTATTTGGAGGTATATTTCAGTTCAAGGATTCCTGACATAAATGGAATGTTAACACAAATTGCACAATTTAGAAGATACTGCATGGGCACCATGAAACAACCAGAAATAACCAACTGAAATAGTCTTGAAAATTAAAATTGAATCTTCAGGATAATGCATGAAATGTCACTTTGTGGAAAAAAAATAAATATAAAAAAAGAGTTTACATTTCTAAATAAAGGTTTCATCTTAAATTATTACCTAAAATACTGTCTGTCTATATCTAAATGGCATGCCGCCTTTTTTCAGTCAAAAAACAAGGAAAACATGTGAAAACAATCAACTTTTTTGAATGATTTTATTATAAACATGTTTTCTTGACATCAAAAATCTGAGATTTATCTAGGTTAACCCAGCTGAATAAAACTCCCATAGAATGCCAAAGAATTCTTCAAAGAAATTTTAACTGATGAACATGAACCTTAGCATTACATGCTAAATATAATTCAATATCAGAAGTCTACTGATAATAATGGCTCTGATCCAAGTTTATATTAACCAGTAAAGTAAATGTTACGACAAATAGTTTATTCTTGATCCCAAAAGTTGTTACTTTTCATCCGCTACAGAAGTGGAAGAGGAAAGAACCACATCAGATATACAAAGGACATCTGCGTCCTAAGCATCCACATCAACATAACAGTTCAGTTCAGAAGACCAATTTATTTGGCAGGAGCTACATCGGAATAATCCTTCAATACACCGGCCAAATGATCATTGTGAGTTTTGAACCTCCGTTTCTTCTGAGAAGCTGGCTTCCTCCTCTTCTGAATAGGAATCTAAAAGAAGAAATAAGTCACATTCACGAGAGCCGTGTTCCCCTAAGTATTTTCACAGGCAGGGATCCCATAGTACAGGCTTCTCAATTGTAGCCCCCCCATGTGGAATATCTTGCTCTCCAATATTTCCGTGTTGAGCTGCCATAGAGAGGTGAAAACTGGCTCAGGGAAAGAACACTGGAAAGGAATCTTAAGTTTGGAGTCTGCCTCTTTGGAATGTTTCAATTATGGTTAATACTTTTTTTTTGTTCATTCTGTTCAAATCGAATCACAATTTGATTACGGCCAGACACCAGCAAGAAAAAATAAACACAGCTTAAATTTCAAGA